TTTAAATCCTGCATGACCTTAAGGACCCTAAACTATGAGAACTATGGTATATTCCTTATTTTGGGTAATCCAGGAATTACATCATCAACAGTCAGTAGTTGCAGTCGTAGTAGAAGTGGTCGTCGTCGCAGTAGTTGTTGTGGTGCAGTTGCTGTTGTTACTGTTGCCGTAACTTCTTCTGGTGTTGTTGTTGTCGCAGTAGTGGTAACGGTAATGGTAGTGGCAGTTTTGTTGGCAGTAGCAGCGGCACTGGTGGTAGTTGTAGTATTGCTAGTGGTGGTAGTAGTCGTGGAAGGGGCTGTAGTGGTAGCAGTAGCTGTAGCAGTAGTAGTAGTTGCAGCAGTAGCAGTAGCAGTAGCAGTAGCAGTAGCAGTAGCAGTAGCAGGAGGTGCGCCGCCTCGTCCAAGCCCTCTCGGAAGGCTGTGAGCTGACCCCTTACTCCTTGGGAGGCAGTTCGTCGTGCATGACTGCTAAAGCTCGCTTTTATTGTCAATGCCGTTTTGTCGTTAATATCATGAGTCAGTTTTCGGGCTTGGGGCTGCTCCTAAATCCGCGGGCTTGTGTTTCTTGTGGATTGTGGGGTTAGAATTGCTTGCTTTGGCCAGCTATGATTCTGAGAAAGCCACCATCATCGCACCAGTAAGCGTGGGCGAGTTCGACGAACTCTTCGACATTCTCGACCTGTGACGAATTGAACTCCCTTGAATAACGGACCACTCTATCGCTTCAACCCAAGGAGGATCTGTGATGTCATGCCTTAGAGCAGACTAACCGCGGCCCGGGCTGTGACAGCCCGATCAGCACCACCCGGACACAAAGGAGCACCACTCAGGCCAGTCTCCAAGAAGCTGACCTTAATGACTTGTCAACTAACCCTCTGCATACACCCCAAAACCGGGCAAAGGTGCCGGACACCAACCAAGGACATGTAGTCCTCGAAAGACATTGGCTCAGGGATAGCTCCTGCGAAATTGCAAAGTGGCATCGTCATGCTGCTTGGCAGTACCAGGCCTGCTGCCAGAAACCGCGTGGTGAAGTCTCGCTCCCGACCCTGAGATCTGCGCCTAGCGGCCCAGTGCGTAGTCACCAGTAACTTTAAACGCGAAACCCTAACTCTTGAGGGGCGCGCCAGCTCCGCAGCTCTTCGGCCGAAGGCCTGCCCAGACCCGCCTGAAAGATGCCATCGCATTGCCGTAGGGGTGTAGGTGGAGCTTGGCCAACCGCCACTTACAGCGCTTAGACTCTGCGATGCCGAAGGCCTCTTCCCGCTTGCGGCGAAAAACTTCCTGCAATTCCAGCATAAGTGACCATGGCAGTTGCAAGCAATGATGCTGTGGGTGAATGTGCCCGACTGCCAACTGCTCTGTATGTAAGGCAAACGTGGTGGGTGAATCTACAATCTATGCCCGGTCGATGTTGCAGTGGTTCACTGCAAACCTGCTCTATGGCTACCCCCGTTTCCCTCGATTTCTAAGTCTCTGTGAACCCCCTGCACGCCTCGCCCGACTTCAGCGCAGCAACGAAATCGGCCAAGGTGCCGCACAGCTCTCCGGCCTGGGGTCAACTTACCGAGTCTGCTGGCTGTAGTGGGTCTGGCTTGGCTTGTCATGGCTTGATTAGCATGGCTTGTGCAAAGACATGTCTTTGGTTCGTGAATGATGCTGCTAAAGAAACACATTCAGCCACCAGGAGTACTGCAGGGTCGCTTGTTATTGCCAGTCTTTACAACCGCAATTTCCCCTTGAAGCTCGCAATTCTTGAAGTCGCGCTTCGAGACTGCAGGAGGGAAGTATCCGTCGGATTGACACAGCCAGGATCTGGCAGTAGCAGTGAGGCCTCTTCTCGATCGAGTCGAGAGTCGAGGGAAGGTAATCCGTGTTGTCATGGCGGTATGACGCTAGGCCGGTGTCCTTGTTGTGTCCCCGCGACGGGAATCACAGTTGAGACTATAGGTAGAAGAGAGATGCGATGCAACTCCTAGATATATCATTTGCACCAGCATTCCATGTCTCCCGCATTGCCAATTCCGGCAAGGAGTCGCATGAATCGCACCAGCAACGCATGAAAAGATGATGGCACCGCAGGGTTTTCAAAAAACAGCACCAGCACCAACCACAACCACCACCACCACAATAATAATAGTAACAATGATAACAACGATTACACCACCAACACCACCGCCGCCGCCACCACCACCAGCACCACCACCAACAACAACAAGAACAATAACAAGAACACTAGCAACAACTACAGCAACAACAAGACTTATTATGACAATTATCGCATCATCATCATCATCATCATCATCATCAGCACCAGCAGCATCATCATCAGCTCTATTCGCAGCAAGAACCGAGACAGTTGCCCTACAACTTTAGAATAGGTTTGAATATAGAGAAGCGGCCTCAGGAGGTGGGAAACATGCCAAGCAGGCACACTTGTGGCATTGACAACGTGCTTCTCAGGCCATGAAGAACACAGGGCCAGGGGGGGTAGAGGGTAAGCATGATGTTCTTAGTCCGCAGAGGCAAGCATAATCACAAGCAACATCACTTTCTGCCACTGCTTATGCTGCTGCGGTGCTTCCTGCAGCTAGTACTGATACTACTTACAACTACTCCTGCCACTGCTGCGGTTGCTACTACTACTGCTGCTGCTGTTGTTGCTGCTGCTGCTGCTGCTCCTGCTGCTGCTGCTGCTGCTGCTGGTTCTGCTGCTGCTGCTGCTGCTGCTGTTGCTGTTGCTGTTGTTGTTGTTGTTGTTGTTGGTGGTGGTGGTGGTGGTGGTGGTGGTG